CAAACGGGCCATCAACGGGAAAACTACTCTACTCACTCTCTTCAAAGACTTTGAGGGAATTCTGTCCAATTTAAAATGATTCAATTTTTTAATGGATGATTGTGTCGCTTATTTCTGTTCACTTCCTTAGAAAAATGCTACATTAATTGAATTATAGTTTTAGAAGTTTTAAGGGTTTTAGCTTAGTGGATGATACAATTTTAAAATTTTAAAATTTTAGGAAGGGCTCTAATGATAGGACTCACCATGTAATATGAATTTTTTTTTTTTTTTATGCCATATCACTAGATCTCAAATTAAAACTCTAGTTTTAGAGCTCTTAATTACTACTTTTTATTATATTGTCATAAATTACAAATTATAAAAATTATAAATATAATTTATCTTATATTCTATTGCTCTTACTTATGCATATTATTAATAAAGTAACAAATTATATCATAAAAATATATAAACACGATAACATTATTACGAAATAATTAATTCATATAATGGCATTGTTGGTCAAATATATTATGAGAAGTTACTATCATTAGAGCATTTTTAATGGTATATCAATTTTTTTATTAAATTTGAATAAAAATTTTATTTGATATCAAGTGTTCCAACGGAGATTTTTGAAATTTCATTAGAATATCGATCGATCGGGTAGATGTCTGGCCGGTTAACCGGTCAGTATAAATTTTTGATAAATTTTTATCTTGAGGTGGTCATCCGCGGGATCGACCGTGCGGATAACTGAAGAGACTACTGGGGGCACTATTGGGGGTCGACTGACCAGTATAATTTTTTCATAAATTTTTGTCTTGAGATGGTTATCCAAAGGACATATGGAGGGACATCGAGTGGTGAAATTAACAGTTATGAACAATGATTTAATAAAAAACATCCTCAATTAGATAAAAGAAAAGTAAAATCTTGAATTTGATATTTATTTGATGAAACTATTAAAGTAGAAAAATATATTATTTTTTATTAAATTTAAATTTGATAAAAAAATTTAAGTAATCATTGGAAATGACCTTAGGTGTGACGATATGAAGGAAGATTGAAGATGAGAACAAGAAGATAGAAGAAATGCAGTGGATCACGTCTCCTTATAGTATTACCAGTAGTTTAGCGAGTCCAGATCCTCAGCCGCCATTATCTGCAACCCTTCCCTGCAGCGCCCCAAAACGATGTTGTTTTGGGGCAAATTTTCAAAAAAAAAAAAAAGAAACAAAAAAAAAAAAAAAAAAAAAAAAAAAGAAAAAGAAAGAAAAAGAAAGAAGAAGGCAAGAACCAGAAGAGAAAGAGGGAAGAAGAAAGATGAGACAAAACCAGAACAGAACCGAACCTAGCAAGGGGGAAAGAAGAAACCCACACACGACCGTGACCCCATAGCTGGTGACCTTCGGCCACCTTCACCTACGGCGCCACCACCTCCCCGCCATCGCCGCCGCAACCCACCTTCCCTTCCTCTTCTCTCTCTCTCTCTCGACCGTCAAGCACCGCCGTGTCAAACCCACCTCACCTCCTTCATCTTCTTCTTCTTCTTCAGATCGAGATGGTGGCTCGTCATTGGTGGCGAGATCAAGATCGCGAGAGAGAGATGGCTCGTTGTTAGTGGCGAGATCAAGATCTTGAAAGAGAGAGAGAGAAGGGGTCTCGCGAGATCAAACCCACCCCACCGTTGCTTTCTTTCTTCTTCACCCTTTCTGGGTTCTGTTTTGGTTTTGGTTTTGGTTCTGGTTTTTTTTTTTTTTTTTGAAAATTTGCCCCAAAACGACGTCATTTTGGGGCGCTGCAGGGAAGGGTTGCAGATAATGGCGGCCAAGGATTCGGACTCTAGTTTAGCCACTAGTTTGTTCAATTTGTCACCTCTAATTTATGACCAATTTACTCTCCAGTCAACTCTGTACCTACACGTGCATTTGATTCAATAATGCCACTCCATTTTGGTCACGATTTTTTTTTAAATTTTTTTTTAAAGAATAATGTTTTGTAGCTTGAAACATTTTCTCCCGAATGACCCGATTTTCAAAACGACGTCGTTTTGATTTTGATATATATATATATATATATATTTTCCCTTCTTTCCCTTCCACTTCTCGTTTCTCTGTCAACGGTTGAACCAAACCCAGAGAGAAAGAGAGAAGGAAGAAGAGAGGAAGAGGAGGATCTGTGTGTGTTGATGATAATGGAGGGGGAAGATCTGTGTGATCCCTCTTGTATCTGTGTGTGTGTGGAATATACCTCCTTATTGGAGTGTGGGACCCACTTGGTTTATTAAAAGAGTTTAATTTGGTTTGGTATTAGTTATAATATATTTTTTATAGATTATATCTAATTTGTGGAGACCCAATCCAATTTGATAACAACTAGGGTTTTGATGAAAAACCCAAGAGTTCACAATATATATTGTTCAATAATATATTTGAGAGATATATTTGTTTTCACCAAAAAGGCACGGCTGCTATACCAATTATATGGTTTCGGTAATAGTGCCGAATAATTACAGTTTGTGAAGATTTGTCAAGGGTGCTTGATTTGTTAATGGTTATGTTGTCTTTGTTCTGAAGTTGATTTGGTTCGTTATTTTGGGTCTCCTTCAACTCTAGTTTCGAAGATTTTGGTTCATCTATTTGGTGAGGTCTTTCCTCTTGTTTATTTGTGATTATTTGGAATTCACCTAAGGGTGGTTTTGTGAGACCATTCGTGTCTCGTTTGTAATTGTTTGGAAACTCTTTGGTTGATAGTGGAATCGGATTTCGATCTCGTGGACGTACCTTACATTGAGGGAACCACGTAAAATTCTTGTGTTGTTTTTGATTTAATTCTTTCGCATTAGTTTTTATTCCCATTAATTGATTTACTTGTGAGGAATCATATATTTTCCCTAACATGTATCTCTTGGGAAGATCTCTCTCTCTTTCTCTCTCTCTCTCTTGATGGGTGGGTTTGATTTTTTGTGTTTGATCGGTGGGTGAGTTTGATTTTGATTTTGTTTTTAGAGAGAGAAAGTGGGTTTGCTTCAATTTTGTGATGGGTTTGGTAGTTTTTAGGGTAAGAAAGTAGAGGAAGAAGAAAATGATGAAATGTTCAACTTCAATTTTGTCAATGTTCAACATGTTTGAACAATCTTCTGTGTAAATAAAATAAATTAAAACAAAGTCAAATAAAATAAAATAAATAACTTACCGAATTTATTTATCGAACCGAATTAAAAATAAAAGACCAAGTCGAGTGTGTGACACTCTGTCCTTAAGACAGATTCGCCCCGCCACGGTGCTTACGGTTGAGTGGCGTCTATCTCCCATGATACAATGATCTTCACAAATTGTAGTAGCACTCCAAACAATTTATTCGGCGAACCAAACCTGTGTTTTAACTCTCTGAAAATTATCCTAAAATAATATGAAGAATAAAGGACGCAAGAGAGCAAAATGAAGGCAAGGAAAATGAATTTTCGGAATCAATCAAAATTGGAATGGGGCTGCCTTTATATAGGCTTTGTTGGCACCTATTTAATTTGAATGGAAAAGGTATGAAGAAGGGACATACCCTTTCCTTTAAAATAAAGAGACACCATGAAATGTTTGCACCCTTTCATTCAAATGGAGGTTTGACCCTTCCTTTAAAACAAAAAGACACCATGAAAGGTTACACCATTTCATTCAAAATGGAGTCTATTTCAATTCACAACTACCTCTTTATAAATTTTTCAACAATCCCCCACATGAATGAAATTGACAGAGAGAAAATACAACAACATGATGTAAATACAGAGAGTACATAAATTGAAAATATTCTGCAAAGGATAGGTAGCTTTTGGCTTTGAACCTTCCCTTGTGAGACACTATCGGATTTACTAGCTAACTAGTGAACATGATGTCTTGAACTGTTCAGCCATTTGTGTAAACCAAGACAATAGAACTCACACAGTATATCTCCAGACACAGTTTAGTTCTCACTATTGTGTTCATTTTGGCCCTGAACAACTTGGTCTTTCATGAGTGCTCTAGAGAATTGTAGCCCTTCACAAATCTCATAGAACCGGCCCAGTTCACACTCATATAGGTGATTCTTATGAAGAGTATCCTGCCATACTCCACTAGATATACCTAGATATAAGAATCATTAAAAGTATTACTTAACCTAAAACGCTGCAGACGTCACTATTTCATCATAGAAATGGGTAGGAGTTAGACTCCCCAGTGATCCTTCTGAGTCATTCACAACTCGGTTGTCCCTTTGAACCTAGATCTTGGGATCTCCAGTCAACTAGGTTGGGTTGCCATTGTGGTAACTCTTATTAAATAGGCTTTAGTCCCATTCCCCTCGATGAATTCTCAACTAACTCTCTTGGTAACCCTTTGGTTAGTGGATCCGTTATGTTGTCTTTAGAATTCACATATTCAATGGAAATAATTCCATTAGGTTGTTTTGAGTAAATATATATATATATATATATATTTATAAAATGTCAAAAATTCTTTCTCAAACATATTAATTTTTTTGTGATGCAGCATTTTGTAATATTTCCTCATCAGCTGCATTGGCTGTAATTGTTAGAGACTCAAAGGGAACCCTTCTGGATGGTTGTGCTCACTATCTGCCCACCTGCTCTCTTGTTTCCATAGTTCTGATGTATTCCGTTTTCCTCTTTAATTGAAAGTTTGGGAGTTCAAAAAAAAAAAACATATTAATTTTTTTCGCATCTTATTTTAGCTAAAATAACTAAAACGTCATTTTCCAAACGGGCCATCAACGGGGAAACTACTCTACTCACTCTCTTCAAAGACTTTGAGGGATTTCTGTCCAATTTAAAATGATTCAATTTTTTAATGGATCATTTTGTCGTTTATTTCTGTTCACTTTCTTAGAAAAATGCTACATTCACTACAACAAAAACTGGCTATAACCACGTTTTTTAGACAACGTTTTTCTGAAAAACGCTGTGAAAGAGGTAAAGTAAGATTAAAAGACGCGCGTTATCTTCTTATGAGCACGTGTTCTACAGAGTTATCCTCCATTTCTCTTTTCGTCCCATTTCTGTCTCTATCGTTTTCTCTCTCCTTCCTAGATCTAGGGTTTTCTCTGTCTCCTCATGCTCCTTGAGAGATTCACCTAGGTTGATTCCGATTACTTGTTCATATCTAACCCTAAATCCATCAATTCTTTCATCTATTTGGTTGAAATGTCTTGACGATTTTTTGTTTTTCTTGATTCTAATTCTGATTTTGATGATTTTGCAGAGGAAGATGGTTTGGTTGAGTTACACAAATCGGCGGGGTTACGAGACCGAGGAGTGAAGAAGAATGAAGATCCTCGGGAGAGTCCTTTTTGCCTTTGTTTTCATACTCTCTGCATGGTGAGAGTAAGCCTTTTTTTTTTGTGCTTCTTCTTCTTCTTCGCTCTGTTTTATCAGATCTGCTATGTTCTA